TGAGAGGAATTCTTAAACTCTTTTAAAAATATCATTTCATGTCCCTTTGCAAATTTTACGAGACATTTAAAACAAAACAAAATAAAACAAAGTCTCATGTAGTCAAATGACAAGTTGAAAAACAATTTCTGTTAACATTTTATGTATTTTTAGTCATTTCATTTTCAATTGCTTTTATAAAACTTTAACTTCTATCAATGTATCATTTTAAAAAGGAATGTATCCAATTAAAATGCTGTGTGTGTGTGTGTGCATTTGTACCTGGTGTGTCTCTGTGTGTGTACATGTGTGTGTACAGGCACATATATACACATGCATGTGAAAGCCAGAAATTAGTGTCAGATGTTTTTCTCAGTGATGGGGAAGAAATCTTGCTTGCACATGGTATATGGGAGTCAGAGAAACACATAGGAGCAAAGAAGACCTGAACTTCAAAGACAGCTTCCCCAGTGAACTTCTTCCTCAAACTGGACCCAAGCTCCTTATCACCCTCTAAGCTATGGATTCATTGGTGAGGTGAAATTAGTGACCTGAGATCTGTACCTTTTAAGTCACACCAGCTAGGGACCATGCTTTCAATTATGAACTCTGCAGACGACATTTAGTATCTAAACTATGCTACTGCTACATTGTGGGGTAAATAATGTCTTCCTTCACAAATATAACTGACATGGCAAAATAATGAGAGTACATTTCTGCCATAGTGTGGCACATGTCCCTGTACCTCAGGCTCTTGTCTCTAGGATGGAATGAATGATCTATGGAGACAGACAGGATTTTAGTAAGGATCCAGCAAGCAAAAAGGATGAACATTCCATGTTAAAAGGAAGAAAACCTGAGCAGGTTTTGTAGCACCAAGGCTCCAGTTTCACAGGCTGTCAGTGCTTTAAGGTAGATATATGGACTGGATGGGATGTGCTAAAGAAGGGAAAACTTAGCTTCAGCCATAGGATAATGTATTTGTGGCCAGAATCCAAGACGCCATTTAGAAACCAGGTTCAGGAATACTGATTCCCTAAAGGACTGATTATGTTTGGGGTAAGCATGTAGGTTAGTCCATGTGACAGCATTTCAGGCTGGCATAACCCTGCTTGGTAGGGGTTGTGGCATCGTTCTACCAGGAGACTGGGCTGTACTTCTGTGTATGTTGCTAGAATCTGCCTGTCTCCATTCTCAGACTGTAGTTGAACCCCAGGATATTATAGTAAGGATTTTTTTTCTTGGCGTAACATATTGGAGGACATTCTTTAACCCTCTCTGTTCCTCTGTCATGAAGGGAAGTCAGCTAACAAAAAGCTTAATAAGAGGACATGGAAGTCCTATTTCATATCACCTTCTTAGACCATGGTGGGAGCTTTTTCAGTTAAACATAAAAACAGACCATTTGTTGGGAGTAGTTAGTACATGTGAAAGATACATACAGGCTTGAATCATGTGACCATTAAAGGTTTTCTGTCAGACACTATGAATCTCCTTAGGTTAGTGGTAAAATATCTTTTACCAAGTTGAGGGTAGGAGCTGGGGGAGGACAGGATGGATAAGAGATTTTTGAATGACAGCAATATTGTGAGATAATTCAAAGATTTTTTTTTCAAATTCATGGAATCAGAATCTTTCATGCTGATAGTGTCTTGCTTTTTTATTGAGTAGACTATATATTCAAAGTTATCTTTTGAAATATATTTTCATACTAATCAGAGAATATACCTCAAAGTCGGAAAATACTTCATGTCTGGCGATGTGGTAAAAACTTGCATGGAGAAGGCCCAAAGTTATACCCAGGATAGATATACCAAGATACAGAGGAGTAGCTTATCATTTACCATTGGAGGGGGGCTCTATTTTAGCTAAAAGATTGGTTACAACACTAGAACCCTGACTTATTCTGGAGAAAGATGGAGGGAGAGAAGAAGGAAGAGAAGATGGGAAGAAGGGAGGGAGGGACAGAGGCCAGCATTGACACTGGAACTGGTCAACAGCAATCCATCTTGAAGTCTGGTTTAGTATAAGAAAAGACCACACTGTCACCCAAAATGGAGTTTTGAGATACTATTCCCAGAAAAGACTAAATTTTAAATGATGTCATCTGTAAGAGAAAGTATAGCATGATCCCAGGGGCCATCTGTATGGTACTTGAAGGCTGATGAGAAATTATATCCAATAAGGGGATGTGATTGCAGGTATAGAACATACAATGCTTAAAATATCATTTTTCCCTGGTGCCTTATGGGAAGAGACTGTGACCTTGTGCCATAATTTGTCCCTGTAACTCATGGAAATGTTCATTCACTGACTTAGGAATTATTTATACCTAATAAGGATAATGTATTGCATTCACACTGTGAAATATCTTCTCTAGACATGCTTTATTTAATTCAGTTACTTTTTCTCCTTCTAGCCCACAAGTACGGTTGCATTCATTTTTTATATTGAAATAGACTCAGAAGAAAACAATATAAGTGGCATAATAAGCAAAGGAGAATACTACTGTGACTTAACCTCAAAATTCATTTCTTTCCACATATATATTACATATAAATACTTTATATATATACATATATAATGCAACCCACAGTTGCATCTCAGAACATGGTGGGATTTTTCTTCCAATAGTACATTTTATTTCTTTTCTCCATCTTGTCTCTTCCCTATTCTCTTTTATGAAATACCCTTTATGAAAGTGTATATAAAGTTTGGAACCATTGTTTTCCCCCTTTACTTAAGGAGATCAAATGAATGCTTCAATTTCTTTTTCCCTCTCACTAACAGATTAAAGGATGTATGTGTGTGAGAGAGAAACAGAGAGAGAGAGAGAGAGAGAGAGAGAGAGACAGAGACAGAGACAGAGACAGAGACAGAGACTGTGTGTTTGAGTGTATGTAGGTGTGTGTATAAAAGTGTGAGTGTGTGTTTCTGTGTATAACGTGAGTTTTCTTGACCCGGCTAGGGTCCCACCACCCTTCTCTGCCCCAAATGATCATGCAGACACTATATTAATATAAAGGTGTTAGCTGGCAACTTGGGCTTCTTATTCTTAACCCATAACTAATAAATTGTATATTTCCACGTAGTCTTGGCTTACCAGACCTGCAATTCCTTTGCCTGCTACATCGCAACTGCTCAGAGTCTCCACAGAGAAGAGAGCCATATCCTGTTTGTCCCTGTTTATATACTGATTCTGCTCAACTATGTCACTTTTTCCCTCTCTGTACAGACCTCCAGACCTCTATGGTTAGCCAGTGGCAGTTTCTGCCCAGCTATGTCACTTCCTGGGATCTCATGATGATTCTTCTCTGCCTATACTTGCCAGAATCCTCCTTGCCTATTAGTCCTACCTATCATCCTGTCTGTCTAATCAGTGTTTTATTCATTAACCAATAAGAGAAACATATATACAGAAGAACATTCCACATCATCATGTGTCTCTGTCTGTCTGTCTGTCTCTGTGTATGTGTGTGTGTGTGTGTGTGTGTGAGAGAGAGAGAGAGAGAGAGAGAGAGAGTGAGAGAGAGAGAGAGAGAGAGAGAGAGAGAGAGAGAGAGAGATCTGTCCCATGAGATTATACGAGAATTCAAGATCAACTGCATCTGGGGATATGTTTTGGTGAAAGTATTATTTGTTTAATCGTATTTGTAGCCACACTTTAAGCCCCTGATACATACTTAGAAGAACTCACTATCTCCCAAGCTACAGCCAAGAAGCCTTTTCCTCTTTAATCTAGCATTACAAAAATGCAAGGCTGTATGACTGGTGTGGACCTAAGTTGCAAGCTCATAAATCACGTAACTTCAAAGAAAACAGCCAACTCTGACCATCACTACTCTGATCTCTTCAACTTTATAGAATGTGATGTCTCTTCAGTGTTCTCCAAGAAAACTGAGTTGCTAAGGAGAACATGTGTGTTCAGGAATTCATTTAGAAATGAATAGTTGAGTGTGGGTAAGTCAACAGATCTTCCAGATTTCCTGCATCTTCACTTGGAAATGGTAGAACAAGCCCTGCTCTGATCATCTCTCAGAATTATGAGAAGACAAAATTTGAAAATAATAACAAATGTCCTTTTTAAAGATTAGTTCTTAGTGCCTATCTCAGGCTAACATTGAACTTGCAATCCTTTTACTTCAGCCTTCCAAGTGTTGTAACCACAAATCTACGCTACCATGCCTAGCTAAAAATGCTCTTTAAAATGATAAAAATGGAAGGCTGAATGATGACTCATTGTGTTCAGTGCTTACCCTACACACATGAAGTCTTAACTTTACATACCCAGGGTCCATATAAAACTATGTGTGGTTGCATATGTCTATAACTCTAGTGCACCTATTTTGAGATGGTTACTGAAAACAGGAGAATCCCCAGAAGGCCATCTACTCTGGTATATGCAGCAAAGAACACATGTGTTGTGTTGCTATGTGGGCCTGCATATACACATACGTTCATATACATATGCATGTATGTACATTATACACACATATCATACATACTAAAAAATATGAAAGGAGGTGGAGGTGGTGCTCCTTGGTACAGTGCTTGCCTAGTACATACAAAGTCTTTGATTTGGTCCCCAAAACTACAAAAATAAATAATAAAAATAAATTAATTAAAATAAATAGAATTCAAGTTAAAAATGAGCACAAAAATGAAGAAGCTTGACAAATATTAGTTATCAAACTTATTCTGTCGTTATTTACTTATTTATTTTTTATTTAGAAACAATCATTTTACATATCAATCCCCCCATTCTCTTTCCCTCCCATTCTACCATGACCCCTACCAATACCCCCAAATCACCCACTCCACTCCCCAAGGACGGTAAGGCCTTCCATGGGGGATCATCAAAGTCTGTCACATCATTTGGGGGGAGGGCCTAGGCCCACCTCCGTGTATCTAGGCTGAAATAGTATCCCTCCATAGGGAATAGACTCCTGAAATCCATTTGTGCACTGGGGATAAATACTGGTTCCACTATTAGAGGTCCCATAGACTGCCCAGGCCTCCTAAAAAATATGGAACGCTTCACGGATTTGCATGTCATCCTTGAGCAGGGTGTTGTTAACCTTCTCTGTATCGTTCCAATTTTAGTATATGTGCTACCATAGCAAGCACTCTTTCATCATTTTAATTGGCTATAGCAGAGGAACTTTTTCCTAAGACTAGCTGCTATGTAATATATACCCATTATTTAAGTGATCTGTGCAGTTACTCATGTATACATCCATTGTCTTTGTAGTAAACAAAGAGTGCTTGCTGTATGTCTCATAACTAGCATATTCTTCGAGAACAAGGAAGGAACATAGTAAGTTATTACTGTATTCATTTTATAGAAGAGAAAGCTGATACTTCAAGTAACTTTCATAACATTGTCCGTGAATCCTTTCTACAACCATTTATATTTAATTAGTTAGTACAGGTTTGTGAGCACGAGTGAGTTTCTGAGCAGAACGTGCATACAGAAGCCTGTGGAGTCAAAAAGAGGCTACTAGGTCCCCTGGAACTGCAATTACAAGTGACTATGAATCACCATTTGAGTGTGTCCTCTACAAGAACAGTTAGCCCTCTTAACTACTTTACTATTTCCAGCCCCATGAAGCCTTTTTGATGTGTAAAAGTCCTTTGGCTCATTAAGTGCTTCATAAAGTTAGGATTTCATATATTCTTAAATCTTTATTTCGTTAAGCCTGTATTTCCTGCATGCCATCCATTGCACAGCGAATATTAAACAAATGAGTGAGTCAGTGCATAAATGAGTAAGAGTGTGGGTGGGGTGGAAGAAATTTTTTAAAAAGGAAAGAAAGAAAGAAAACATAGCAGCTTTTCTGACTTGGAATCGATTGTTTGGTGTATATTTTTCTACACAGGTTCACTTACTGACAACAACTACACACTGAATGACAGAAGATGGGAGTCTAATTATCTAGAAGGTAGCTACCACATATTAACATCAAGCCATTATACTCATGAACATTTCTAAACACATCTCAGAGTTTTATATTACTATCCTCATGGAGCGGCTACCTTGGCTTCTTCTGCCTTCTGCGTCTCCTTCTGTTTTAATGAGAGCCATGATAAAAGAAATTGCTGAGTGTGCCCAAACTGCTGAGCTGTAGAGACTACTAGGCCTGGATTCTTTGATTAATATTTAATGAAGGAAACATATCTTTGTAGCTCAAATGGTTTACAACTGATCCAGTTCCATTAGCTACTGCTGCGGCAAAAGCATAATGCAAGGCAGACTGCAACACAGTTTATCTGGACTCCTTTTTTTTAAACTTTATCTTTGATTTGCAGATAGGATTACAGACCCTCTAAAAACATTAAATCATATATTTTCTAACTTTTATCACTTTAACTTTGAATAAATGAATGGGATAGAGAAAATTGTCAGCTTTCCTGAATGATTGATGCACTTTATATATAAAAGTCTACTAAATGTATTCATTTTCATATTTCATATTGGTAGCTGAAAAATCTTTTAAAGTACTGAAATACCATTCAATTTGGATACAGTATTAGACTTATAGATGGGAGATAGGTTTTCAAATGTGTCTGGAAGTATTGTACACATTTGAGAATAATTTACTTTTCAAAGAATAACAAGGTATTTGTACTTTTCTGCAAAACTGTAATTCTCCTCATCTTTTTTGGAAGGCTTGAAGTTGATTTGGCACTTAGCCTAGTCTCTCCTCAGTGTTTTCTACCTCTCCTCCCAATAAGAAAGTACAAATTATACTGCCTGTACCATGCTTGTAGATGGAAATAAATGTTCCAATGTAGCCAGTAGGACATATTTCATAGCATATGTATTACTGTCTTTCATTGGATTACATTTGTCCATAACCACACCAACAATGTTTCAGGTAATGGTCCTTATGTTTAAATAAGATGATTATTTGTGACCTCATGATAATGGTTTACGACAAGTATAACAAGTTTTGAAGTGTATTTTTAAACAAATATCTTTTTTGAGACATAAAAGACGGGCCAGAAATAGCACTCACTAAAAAGTCTTGTCTAGCATGTACGAGGCCCTGATTTTGATTCCCAGCACCTCAGAAAAGTATTTTTAAGTAAACTTTAAAATATCATGCATAATTAAATACAGACTATAGATAGTTACTTATAATAGTCAGATCTTATAATTAGGTAAGTTAGGTTTTCTAGATATACAGAGATATATTTGAGATGGATAGATAGTCTTCAAACCTTTCAAAGACCTTCAGAAAATGGCATTTAAAATGGTTTAGGGTTTTTCTTGACATGAGAAATGTCTGCTCCTGGCAGCACCAATTGCGTCTGAGAGGAAGATGGGCATCGAAGAAACTCGTTATGGAGTTTGCTTTCAACATGGCAAGATTAGCCATTTGGGCAAGAAACTGCTCTTGCCTAGACTGTTTGACTGTTGCTGTATAAACTGGACATGCAGGACCCACAGGAAAGTGACTGCTGAACTCAAATAGTCCTTCAGGGTTCCTGCTTCATGGAAGAGTCTACAAGACTTTCTGTAGGACACAAAAAATGACTGACAGACTGCTAATACAGATGGACAGTTTGAAATTTCCTGCTTTGCTGAGAAGTCTTCCAGACACAATGTGTCCTATGGGCTGAAGATGAATGCCCCAATGTTACAGAGGAACCTCAGGTGACTGTCCAGGCAGCAAGATGTCTCTGTCAATCCTAGTGTTTATGTATTATCCTTCTGTGGTCTTTGATGGAGTTGAAGACAGATAGTTATAATTATAGTTTTCCTTAGTTATGATAAAAGATATGCTACATATAGAACTTTGGACTCACAAGGATGGGATGGATGATATTTTCTTTAAATCTGCTGAATGTTGATGGACAAAATATTGTAACTGTGTTCTTGCTTGATAGCTGTCCTGTTATATATAATTTGACTAAGTTAAAGTTAAAACCTTTCTTTTTATTTAGACAGAAAAGGGGAGATGATGGGGAAGTCCTGTGTATATGTCAATAAAGCACTGTTGGCCAATAGGGAAGCAAGATAGGTGGGACTAGGAGTCCAGGAGGACTCTGGGTAGGAAAAACACAGGGAGTCACAGTGTAGCCCACCAGAGAAGTAAGATGTATGGCACTTTTCTCCAGTAAGATAAATACTTAGAATAACAATTATGGGGTAAATACTTAAGTCAGAGATAGCCAGTAAGAAACAAGCAAGGCCAACAGCTTCATAATTAATACAGCGTCTTGTGTGTTATTTGTGAACTACAACGTGGCAGAGCCCAGGCAACTGGTGGGGGAAAAAACCGAAGCGACTGGCAAGGGAAAGGCTTCTCTCTACACATAGGGGCATATGCATGCAATGCCAGCCTTTGCAGAGGTAGTCAAGAGGATTTCACATATGAGGTTAGACTGGAATATAAAATAACTTCCAGACCAGCTTCTGTTGCCTTAAGGAGTTGTGCTGAAAGAAACAGGAAGGACACAAGAGTTTACTGTTCTTGGCAAAGGTACTTTTGACATATATAAGAATTAGGTCTTTCGACTGGGTGGTGGTGGCACATGCCTTTAATCCCAGCACTCGGGAGGCAGAGGCAGGAGGATCTCTGTGAGTTCGAGGCCAGGCTGGACCGACAGCCTCCAAAACAATACAGAGAAACCCTGTCTACAAAAACCAAAAATAAATAAATAAATCAATAAATAAATAAAAGAATTAGGTCTTTCTCCATAGCTGTCCTTAAGATCTAGCCTTTTAATTCTAGATGTGGATATCAAGGAAAAGGATTATGATTCACAGTATACATGCAGTATGTTCAAGTATGTTGACCACTGAATCCAGCTTTCCAAATCCTTTCCCATCCACATGGGATCTGAACACGTGGCTAGTACTCAGGAAGGGAAGAGTAAGAACCAGTTGGTCAAGGCCATCACAGGCTATTCAGTGATTTTTGAGACTACTCTGGGCTATGAGAAACATTGTGCCGATCAAAACAAAATGGACACTTTTCACCTACCATGAAATACGTTATTGAAATTTTTACCCTGGTATCTACTTAAATAGGAAATATTTCAGCTGTGTAGAATTCTACTGATGTCTTTTAGGAATGTGCCTTGAAATAATCCTTTAGCATAGCCACATATTAGCTATGAATATACATATACATTATGTATTTGGGAGATTTTATGCTATGTTATGCTTATATATATATGTGTGTGTGTGTGTTATGTATGTATAACATATGTTCATATGTATATGTGAATATAGAGTATATATGAATGAATTTGAAATGTGAAATTCAAAGATAATTTGGTTGTAGCACCCTAAAACTGTCATCAGCATATGATCCTATCCATCCTGATTTTATCATAGTAGTTAAAACCTTTGGCTTCAGTGTAGGATGAGGAAATACTATAGCTTGAGGCAAAGACATTACCATCTATCAAGGGCTGTGAAACAAGATTATTTGGATAATAAGGTTTTGTCTCTAAAACCCTGTGCTACACTTTGTTAAGAGAAATCTGTGCTTTGACCTTCTGAAATGCTGCTGTTACAAACTTGGCTTTATTTTCCTTTTTCTGAGGTTGTCACTTTTGCCATCTGGTAGATGTTTCTTCTGGGAGAGAGGAAGCTGTGTGCATAAACGCTTTCAAGAAAGCATCGTGGTGTGCTTTGCTTGAGGTCAAAGGCAGTGCGTGCTCTGTAAGCTAGATTGTCATTATTCATGTTGGTGTGGACAGTCAGAGCATTTTAAGAACACTCTCTGTTGTGTGTGTGTATTTACAGAGAACCTGAAGTGGGCAGAATGTGGTAAGTCATATTTATGTCTAAGTGAGAACTATGAACTTTCATAAGTACAATGACCAGCATTTTGTTAGTTCTACCTGTCCTTGTTACTGTGTCTAAGTGACACATCAGAGAAGCCAAGAAAAACTTGGAGACCCCATCTCTGGTCCCCATTCCTAAAAATACAAATTTATTTCTACTGCAAAATAGAAGAAAATAAACACCCATTTTTCTCACTTATGTTGTCCAAAGAATAAGTAGAGAAGTAGTTATTCTTTTTATATTTTGATGAAGTATTCACAAAAGGAATTGCGTGCTTTCTCTTGTACCTTAATTCCAGTTATTTATTTTACCCTCAGATATA